CATATTTCTTAATATAAACACACATGGCATGCCGGCAATGGCTATAAAATAGTGTGAGTGGCCATTGATATTGTTCTGCATTTTTATAATGATACGTTTCATCAGCAAATATATGGTAATATATTCGAGACGCATGAACTGTGTAAAATTCGATATGTTATTTACATATTTAATATACTATTCATGAGACTGACCTGACACGGAGGTGATTCAAACAGCGCTGTCTTCACAGTTCACATCGCGGGAAATGCAAATCATGCCAATAATCGCACACCAAAAGCTTTCGATCAGAATTCTTTCGCGCACCTTTTCGTTAAATGAAACACGTTTACATTCGTTCATTATACACAGAAGATCGTGGAGTCATGTAGAAGCCGCCATATCTTTCTCCTTGGAACGAGCGGCGATTAAAATTTACCGACTATTCGATTACAACGAGGAGCCGACACGACAATAACAAGCCAGCATCGCTCTGAAGTCGATGCGACTATTGCAAACAGTAGCATTTTGCCTCATTCTGATTGGCTTACTTCGTCTGACCGTAGCAAACCAATCAGCACGCTGTATTTGCGAATTTTTGCAACGGTCAGTTTCAATCTGACCACTGCAAAAATTTCCAAATACAGCGCTATGATTGGTTTGCTACGGTTAGACGAAGCAAGCCAATCACAATGAAGCAAATGCTACGACTTCAGAACGATGTGATATAGTACTAGTGCAAAACCCGCAAATACAGGCAGTATTTCGGGCGAAAATTTGAGAAAAACCCGAATTTAATTATCCAAAATGAAATAAAAACTCGATAAAATTGTATCAATATAATTTAGTAAATTTAAAAAAAATTGCACCAAGTTTCAATGAAAAATTGAAAATAACGGCAATTAAAAATAGTATAACGTTTTAGTTTTTAACAACTTTAAAAAAGGTACAACCTGGAAAAATATATCTCAGGGAAAATCTGACCGTAGCATATGCTACGGTTGCAACGGTCTGAATCCGCCCCTGAGCAGTGTGCCAATATCTCGCTTGAGACATTCCTGGAAGTTTTTGCCAAGTATAACTTTCGAAGTTGAAAGCTTCAACTGACTTTAAGTCACGTCCTTGCTCACAAATTCCTCCCAGTACTACAATGTTGTTTCCAATAACAACGGCAGTACATCTCCGTCTTTTGCATCTCATTGGCGGCAACATGCAACTCTGTTCAGTTTTGACATTGTAAATGATCACTGTATCTAATCGATTGCCACGTTTGTCAATGCCGCCTATAACAATGATGTTGTCTCCCCATCTCACAGTTGCCATCTCACTCACTTCATACGGCAGTGGTGCCAACTGTTTACATTCATTCTTCTTTATATCATACAGTAAGACACTGCTGAGGTTGTTTAGGTAACTGCTAGTTGTACGTCCACCCACGATCAACAAACTATCATCAAATAATTGCGTGCTGTGGTACAGTCTTGCTTCTGGCATTCTTGATAAGGTCTTTGCGGTATAAGGAGGGGTAAGCTGAACTTCAAGAATACAGTCAGATGCTCCATTTTCATTATGACCACCAGTGACTATTATCTGATCATTATACAGCACACTGCTGTGGTATCCCAACTTACCAGGCAGTTTAACAGGACAGTCACTCCAGTGTGTTGAGAGATCAGGGTTTGGGTTGATATTCATTCTAATCATATCATCGAGATAGCCAGAAGAATAACCGCCAGCAATTGTCACATGATTGTGGTATACAAATAAAGTTGCACCTCGACGCTTCTTTGGCAAGGATTGTAATGGCGACCATGTTCTTTGACGCCAATTAAACATCTCTACAGAGACAGTTCCATCACCTCCAGCAACAATTATATTTTCCTTATCACCACTTGCTGCATTTCTTACTTTTCTTGTGTTTTCTTCTATCTTGTCCTCCATCTTGACAAGAACATCCTTCATTTCATCAAAACCTTCAATCAAAGCTGTTTTCAATCCTTTCACCTCATTATTCACTGCTTCGAGTTTTCCTTCCATCAGTTCCTGCATGTCTGTTTTCATGTCTGTGGTGTTTCTCTCCATGTTCTTCTCCACATTTGCAATTTGTGTCTCTACATTCGCTTGTATATCATTCATGCAGGTTTCCATGGCAACCACAGTCACCATTTTCGCCATATTGGTCGCCACATTTGTCTCGACAGTCGCCAGATTTGTCGCCATCGTTGCCATTCTTTTCTTCATATCTGCCAACGTTTTTGCCATTTGTCCGCACGAGTGGCACTTCAACTTGCGAAATTCACATAGTTCACTTTCGTGGTTAATAAGATCACGCTGGTTTAAAGTTACACCACAGCCTGGGTTTGTACAAACGGCTGGAGTAAATCCACATGTAGCCTCGTGGATGTCAAGATGTTGCAGTTGTACGATCTCTTCACAGCCCCTGTTGTTGTAAACACAATGAATATTTAATTCATCTAAATAATCTTTTACCATTCTGTTGGGTTCTGCTAGAGTCTCTACAGTCAGTTCGTCCGCACACGTAGGGCATCTTCGAGAATTCTCGAGGTGTTTCGTAATACAAGCACGACAGAAACAATGTTGATTTCTCGGACACAGAACCGGGTCTTTAAGGACATTGAAGCAAATCAAACAGAGGAAATTTCGATTAACTTTGCTTGCGAATCTTTCCTCATCATAGCCTTGTATATAAGACGCCATAAATTTCACGCCATTCTGTCGTAATATAAAGAAAGCAAGTTCTGTGTTGATGTTAGTCGCTTTGTAGTGTAAACCTCGCTATATAGACACAATGTAGATACAGTGTTCGTTCTTCGAGAAAGTCTGTGTTAGTATTTGCTTGAAATCTTTAACAAAATGGTCTGTTTAGAGCAGCAGACAAATATCGCTATTCCGCATGAAGTGTTCAATGGACAGACAGGAATTTTCTGGCAAGAAATAGAATATCTAATGTCTTGTGATCAAAGGTCGTCACCTCATATTGATACTGACTTTAGATTGGTTAAATTATGTAAACAAGAATTTCGTGTTTCGAAATATGGAAATCAGTTCCCAGAAAATGATCTTTTATACCAAGAAAATATTTGCTATATATACATCTCAAACTCATTAATAATTCACAAGTAAATTAGCCAACGATGTTGGTTTAATTTGCTCACATGATAATACGGATGCCTGGTAAAGTATATTGATCCAGTTCTAGGACTGGATCAAAATTAATTCAGTCCTACTGTAGGATTGGATCAAAATTAATTCACTTCACTTTAA